CCTGCGCAGCCGCGGCACTGCTGCTGGCCCCTGCTGCCCTGCCGCCAGCTGCCAGCCGTGCCTGCGGCGCGCTGCTGCCGTGTGCTGGGCCGTGCTGTGCTGCTGCACGCCACGCTGCTGCATGCTGTGCTGCACCGCTGCATGCTGTGCCACTGCACGTCGTGCTGTGCTGCGCTGTGTTGTGCCATGCCACTGCATGCCACGCCACGCTGTGCTGCACCGGGCCATGCCGCTGAATGCTGTGCCACACCGCACCACTGCATGCCGTGCCGTGCCAGGCTGCACGTTGCACTGATGCATGTCGTGCTGCACCATGCTGCTACATGCTGTGCTGATGTGTGTCATGCTGCACTGTGCTATGCCATGCTGTGCTGCACTTCTGCAAGCCGCACTGCCCCGTGCCTGCCTGCTGCATGCTGTGCCTGCCGCTGCGTGTTGTGTCATGCTGCTGCATGCCGTGCCGCTGTGCACCCTGCTGCACCACTGCATGCAGTGCTGCACCATGACACGGTGCTGCATGTTGTGCCCTGGCACTGTGTGCCGTGCTGCACCGCTGCATGCTGTGTCGCATTGTGCCATGCTGCTGCCTGTTGTGCCCCACTGCTGCATGCTGCACTGCACTTCTGCATGCTGTGCTGTGCCATGCCGTGCCGTGCCATGCCACTGCAGGTTGTGCCGTGCTGCTGCATGCTGTGCCACTGCATGCCGTGCTGTGCCGCTATATGCTGTGCCATGCCGTGCTGTGCCGCTATATGCTGTGCCATGCCGTGCTGTGCCGCTATATGCTGTGCCATGCCGTGCTGTGCCGCTATATGCTGTGCCATGCCGTGCTGTGCCGCTATATGCTGTGCCATGCCGTGCTGTGCCGCTATATGCTGTGCCATGCCGTGCTGTGCCGCTATATGCTGTGCCATGCCGTGCTGTGCCGCTATATGCTGTGCCATGCCGTGCTGTGCCGCTATATGCTGTGCCATGCCGTGCTGTGCCGCTATATGCTGTGCCATGCCGTGCTGTGCCGCTATATGCTGTGCCATGCCGTGCTGTGCCGCTATATGCTGTGCCATGCCGTGCTGTGCCGCTATATGCTGTGCCATGCCGTGCTGTGCCGCTATATGCTGTGCCATGCCGTGCTGTGCCGCTATATGCTGTGCCATGCCGTGCTGTGCCGCTATATGCTGTGCCATGCCGTGCTGTGCCGCTATATGCTGTGCCATGCCGTGCTGTGCCGCTATATGCTGTGCCATGCCGTGCTGTGCCGCTATATGCTGTGCCATGCCGTGCTGTGCCGCTATATGCTGTGCCATGCCGTGCTGTGCCGCTATATGCTGTGCCATGCCGTGCTGTGCCGCTATATGCTGTGCCATGCCGTGCTGTGCCGCTATATGCTGTGCCATGCCGTGCTGTGCCGCTATATGCTGTGCCATGCCGTGCTGTGCCGCTATATGCTGTGCCATGCCGTGCTGTGCCGCTATATGCTGTGCCATGCCGTGCTGTGCCGCTATATGCTGTGCCATGCCGTGCTGTGCCGCTATATGCTGTGCCATGCCGTGCTGTGCCGCTATATGCTGTGCCATGCCGTGCTGTGCCGCTATATGCTGTGCCATGCCGTGCTGTGCCGCTATATGCTGTGCCATGCCGTGCTGTGCCGCTATATGCTGTGCCATGCCGTGCTGTGCCGCTATATGCTGTGCCATGCCGTGCTGTGCCGCTATATGCTGTGCCATGCCGTGCTGTGCCGCTATATGCTGTGCCATGCCGTGCTGTGCCGCTATATGCTGTGCCATGCCGTGCTGTGCCGCTATATGCTGTGCCATGCCGTGCTGTGCCGCTATATGCTGTGCCATGCCGTGCTGTGCCGCTATATGCTGTGCCATGCCGTGCTGTGCCGCTATATGCTGTGCCATGCCGTGCTGTGCCGCTATATGCTGTGCCATGCCGTGCTGTGCCGCTATATGCTGTGCCATGCCGTGCTGTGCCGCTATATGCTGTGCCATGCCGTGCTGTGCCGCTATATGCTGTGCCATGCCGTGCTGTGCCGCTATATGCTGTGCCATGCCGTGCTGTGCCGCTATATGCTGTGCCATGCCGTGCTGTGCCGCTATATGCTGTGCCATGCCGTGCTGTGCCGCTATATGCTGTGCCATGCCGTGCTGTGCCGCTATATGCTGTGCCATGCCGTGCTGTGCCGCTATATGCTGTGCCATGCCGTGCTGTGCCGCTATATGCTGTGCCATGCCGTGCTGTGCCGCTATATGCTGTGCCATGCCGTGCTGTGCCGCTATATGCTGTGCCATGCCGTGCTGTGCCGCTATATGCTGTGCCATGCCGTGCTGTGCCGCTATATGCTGTGCCATGCCGTGCTGTGCCGCTATATGCTGTGCCATGCCGTGCTGTGCCGCTATATGCTGTGCCATGCCGTGCTGTGCCGCTATATGCTGTGCCATGCCGTGCTGTGCCGCTATATGCTGTGCCATGCCGTGCTGTGCCGCTATATGCTGTGCCATGCCGTGCTGTGCCGCTATATGCTGTGCCATGCCGTGCTGTGCCGCTATATGCTGTGCCATGCCGTGCTGTGCCGCTATATGCTGTGCCATGCCGTGCTGTGCCGCTATATGCTGTGCCATGCCGTGCTGTGCCGCTATATGCTGTGCCATGCCGTGCTGTGCCGCTATATGCTGTGCCATGCCGTGCTGTGCCGCTATATGCTGTGCCATGCCGTGCTGTGCCGCTATATGCTGTGCCATGCCGTGCTGTGCCGCTATATGCTGTGCCATGCCGTGCTGTGCCGCTATATGCTGTGCCATGCCGTGCTGTGCCGCTATATGCTGTGCCATGCCGTGCTGTGCCGCTATATGCTGTGCCATGCCGTGCTGTGCCGCTATATGCTGTGCCATGCCGTGCTGTGCCGCTATATGCTGTGCCATGCCGTGCTGTGCCGCTATATGCTGTGCCATGCCGTGCTGTGCCGCTATATGCTGTGCCATGCCGTGCTGTGCCGCTATATGCTGTGCCATGCCGTGCTGTGCCGCTATATGCTGTGCCATGCCGTGCTGTGCCGCTATATGCTGTGCCATGCCGTGCTGTGCCGCTATATGCTGTGCCATGCCGTGCTGTGCCGCTATATGCTGTGCCATGCCGTGCTGTGCCGCTATATGCTGTGCCATGCCGTGCTGTGCCGCTATATGCTGTGCCATGCCGTGCTGTGCCGCTATATGCTGTGCCATGCCGTGCTGTGCCGCTATATGCTGTGCCATGCCGTGCTGTGCCGCTATATGCTGTGCCATGCCGTGCTGTGCCGCTATATGCTGTGCCATGCCGTGCTGTGCCGCTATATGCTGTGCCATGCCGTGCTGTGCCGCTATATGCTGTGCCATGCCGTGCTGTGCCGTGCTGTGCAGTGCCGTGCTGTGCTGTGCAATGCCGTGCCATGTCGTGCTGTGCTGTGCCATGCCGTGCAATGTCATGCCATGTTGTGCCATGCTGTGCAATGCCGTGTCATGCCATGCCACGCAATGTTATGCCATGTCGTTCCGTGCTGTGCAATGCAATGCCATGCCGTGCCGTGCCGTGCCATGCCATGCCGTGCCCCATTGTTGCATGCTGTGCCGTGCAATGCCATATTATGCTGTGCCGTGCAATGCCATACCGTGTCATGCAATGCTATGCCGTGCTGTGCCGTGCCATGCCATGCCGTGCCATGCAATGCCTTGCTGTGCCATGCTGCACAATGCCATACCGCACCATGCAAAGCCATACTGTGCCATGCAATGCCATACCGTGCCGTACAATGCCATGCTGTGCTGTGCCGCACAATGTCATGCCATGCCATGCAATGCGTTGCTGTGCCGTACTGCGCAATGCCTTGCTGTGCCATGCAGTGCCATGCCATGCCGTGCCATGTAATGCCATACTGTGCTGTGCAATGGCTTGCTGTGCCGTGCTGCACAATGCCATATCGCGCCATGCAATGCCATACCGTGCCGTGCCACACAATGCCATACCGTGCCATGCAATGCCATACCGTGCTGTACCATGCCATGCTGTGCTGTGTTGCGCAATGCTATACCATGCCATGCAATGCCATGCCGTGCCATGCAGTGCAATGCTATGCCGTGCTACCTTTCTCCCCTGAGCCGTACGGCCTGGTGCCTCTCCTCGCCGCACGCCGGGGTGCAGGGGCCGGGCAGCCAAGGCCTCGGGAGTCGGGAGTGTGCTGTGGTGGCGGTGGGCTGCGTCTCGCGGGGGCGGCAGAGCGTGGGGCTGCGGGGAAGCGCTGCGGGTGTG